GGTGAGGATGGATGGAGGTTGCCCATCTCATCCGTAACTCAGCATTCTCTAACTTGATAGTAAATTTTCCCAAATCTTCATTTACATAGCTAGAAGCATTAGATTGGAGACTGATGCTCTTGATATCTTAAAGCCTCTTGGCACTTTCTCTTTTCTTAAAAGTGCTTTTGACTGACAATGAGGCACACACACACACACACACACACACAGAGAGAGAGAGAGGGGGGAGAGAGAGAGAGAGAGAGAGAGAGAGAGAGAGAGAGAGAGAGAGAGAGAGAGAGAGAGAGAGAGAGAATCTGTTTAGCTAAGGCACTTTTCATTCCTTATAATCAAGAACAGACTCATTAAAGAAAGAGTAATCATGTATTCACTCCACAATTTTCTCTCCCCAAAGTAATGAAGTTGGAACAGTTATTTACTTATTTTGCAATGTGTGAAAAAAGAGTATTTCAGGGTCACTTCAAAAGTACTTGCAGTTTCATGAGATATTCATCTATATCTGGAATGTGCTATTAGTATAATCTGCAAATTTAGGATACATTTTAAAACATTTTTAAAATGATGCTCATGTCTGACTTAGGAGGAACGAGTGATATCTATCATTTTAAATATAAATGTAACCTCTAAGATGAATGGTAAGTTCTGGCTTTTCTTTTGTCCATAGGAAGTTGACTTAAATGTCAAACCATAGGTATTAATTTTATGTTGCACTAAACGGAATGCTTTCTAAACATGTATGTAGTTTGAATAAGTCATCATAAAATTTCAGAGATTCACTTTAGCAGATGTCCATGTCTTGGTCCAGGCTGGAGAAATTGAAGCATCTCACATTCAGGCCAGATATCCATACCCCAAAGATATCACACCTTCTGACTTTAAGAAATGGACCTCAGATTCCTTGGCTGGAAAAAAAAGACCTCATGGAGCATTCTCCAGTATGCTTAGCGAAGCCAGAATCTACATGAAAAGGATGCCAGATATTCTACATTGGTGATAGAAATTAAGATGATAGAGTTTCTAGGCAAATCGTTCTGAGTGGCTATTAAAAGGAGAACAAGCTCCAGACTACACGTCTTTGCCTCCAAGCCTTGGTAGAACTTCCAAAGCTAACCTCAAAGTAGTCCGATAGGAAGCGAACAGACAAAAAAAAAAAAAATACTAAGGAAATAATTGTAATTGCTTTAGTTTTAATAAAGGTCTCTGTTTTTACATGCCATTTACTTAGCCTAAAAAAAGATTGTTATTGATATCTAATGCTAGGAGTAAACTGCCCATGCAGTGACTAATTTAGTGCTCTCCATGGTCCTGAAGTCTTCACCTCACTTACAAACTGGACCACTATCCCCACTTCAATATTCTAGTAATGACAGTAGTTATGCAACTTCTGTGTTTTTCCAAGTCCCTGCTGGTTGCATTAGAATTATGCAAAACCACAGAGCTTGTTGTGAGGTCAAACAAGTACACTTCACAATAAAAACTACTGAAGCGTTGCCTTCTTTTGAAACGGAAAGCGGCAATTTTTATAGATTGTAGATTCTAGTCATGGACCTTTCTCTTCATTGAAACCAGGCTTAAAAAAAAGTCTACTTTGATTCTCTTCTTGTCTGGTTACAAAAATATTCTATTTATGATTTGAAAGAAAGATGATTGCACCCTTCGTCTTTTCCAAAAGGCCAATTAATAATCAGTTATTAAGATACTACCAGCCTACAAAGCCAGGGACAGTGTAATTGCTGATGCTATGGACTGGCTGTGGGGAGATCCAGGTTCTATTCCATTTTTAGGTTTCAGAACAGTCACTTTCTCCCAGTCCTACATACAGTACCTTGCAGGACTGCTCTTGTGGGGAATAATAAGAAACAGAAACACACTAAGTGGAATTCTATTTGTGGACAAGACTTTCCAGTGAGTTAATGTCACGCAGCAGCATTCCATGACCAATAGTTAGCAATCAAAGAGAGTGTTTACCCAACAGGCTTAATGTAGTAATTATGTGAATATATTTTCTGGGGTTACATAATACAGTGAAGGAGCCTGAGTGGGGTAGGAGGCTAATGCCTCCTACTAAGGCAGCATTTAACATCCAGCTGCCTGCAATTACTGCGAGTTCAATTCTCACCAGGCTCAAGGTCGACTCAGCCTTCCATCCTTTCTAAGGTGGGTAAAATGAGGACCCGGTTTGTGAGGGCAATAAGCTGACTTTGTATAAAATATACAAAAGTATGAAGGCTATTGCTTAATGCATTGTAAGCTGCCCTGAGTCTCTGGAGAAGGGCGGCATATAAAAATAAATAAAAATAATAAAATAAATAAAATAAATAAACTAGCCAAAAAGACTGAGTTCATATTATTTGCAAAGCCAACACACACACACACACACACATTTCCCTAACTGATTTTACAATTTTCTAAGTACATTGTGCAATGCAATTACTCTCTTTTCAATTGCACCAGTCAAGTGTATTAAAAAGTATTGAAAAAGATTACTTTTTTGAAATATACTGTATAATCATGAAAGCTATTATTTTTTGGAGTGTTATTGAGGTGGTCTAACAAAATACTTGCAAATTGGTAAATCTTTTGCAGAAAGAACCTCAAAATGACTATGACTTGTATAGGCATAAAATGAATCATGGCATTTTGGGTACTATTTAATAATCCATTAAAATCTCTATTGGCATGGAGAGGACGAATATGTGAATGCATTGAGGGGGGAAATATCAGCGACAAGTAATGCCTCTGTGCTGCTCTGTGCAAGGTTAAAAAATATGAGAGGGATAAACAGAGAATATGCAATATATAAATTGTATTCTGGAAGAAAACCAGCTAATTTAAAACCAGGAGAGTATTTTAGAATTTAACAATATTGTAGACTGCAAAATATAAGGCAGAAGTCTGATTTAAAGTAAGCACTTTCAAAGGTTTTTACAATGGTGTTATTTAAAGATTTTGATGCCACTTGAAAAATTGCTGGAATAAAGCTAAGGCAATATTCTTTTAAAACTAAAACAGCATTTTTTGCATTAGCATTTAATCTGAATTAGTATCACAAGCATACCTAGGCCATTCTTATTAATTGTTGTGAAATAATCACTTATTTAACAATATATAATGTTGCTGTTTGATTATATCTGTAGGTCACTAGGCAGGAGAAGGTGACATAGGTCATAGTCCAAACAATGAGTAAATATATTGTTTCACAACTACCGTTGAGTGAAATATAGTTTTCACCCATCAAAAAGACTCAATTCTTCAATAATGTCCATTTTTGTTTGTGCTGGAGAGATCTCTCTAAAGTACAGTAACTTTAAAACAGTATTTCTCAGCCTTAGCCCCTTTAAGATGTCTGGACTTCCACTCCCAGAATTCCCCAGCCAGCATAGCTAGGGTGATTACAGATTAACAGAGTGGGAAGGGACCTTGTAGGTCATCTAGTCCACCCCACCCCCCGCCTAAGCAGGAGACCCTACACCATTTCTGACAAATGGCAGTCCAATCTCTTCTCGAAAGCCTCCATTGATGAAGCTTCCACAACTTCCAAAGGCAACTTCTGTTCCATTGGTTGATTGCTCTCACTGTCATAAAATTTCTCCTTATTTCCAGGTTGAATCTCTCCTTGTTCAGTTTCCCTCCATTATTCCTTGTGTAGCCTTCAGGTGCTTTGGAAAATAGCTTGACCCCCTTCCTCCTCTCTGTGGCAGCCCCTCAAATATTGGAAGACTGCTATCATGTCTCTCCTAGTTCTCTTCACTAGACTAGCCATGCCCAGTTCCTGCAACCGTTCATCGTATGTTTTAGCCTCCAGTCCCCTATCAGTAATCATCTTGGTTGCTCTTCTCTGCACTCTTTCTAGAGTCTTAACATCTTTTTTATAGTGTGGTGATCAAAACTGGATGCAGTATTCTAGGTGTGGTCCTATTAAGGCTTTCTAGAGTGGTATTAGTACCTCACTTGATCTTGAATGGATCCCTCTGGTAATGCAATTTAGGACTGTATTGGCTTTTTTGGCTGCCGCCACACACTGTTGGCTCATATTTAATTGGTTGTCCACTAAGACTCCAAGATCCTTCTCACAGTTATTGATATTAAGCCTGATTTTGTTCAGTCTATATGTTGGTTTTTCTTGCCTAAGTGTAAGACTTTTCTCTACATTGAATTTCATTTTGTTAGATAGGGTCCAGTGTTCAAGTCTGTCAAAATCCATCTGGATCTTGAGCCTATCTTCTAGGGTGTTAGCTAACCCTGCCAGCTTAGTATCATCTGCAAATTTGGTAAATTCCCCTTCTATTCCCTCAGCTAAGTCATTTATAAAGATATTGAAGAATACTGGGCCTAAGACAGAACCTTGTGGTACCTCACTGCTTACTTCCCTCCATGTAGATGTAGTACCATTAAGGACTACTTGTTGAGTACAGTTTGTCAACCAGTTACAAATCCATCTGATGGTGATGCTATCTATCCCACTTTTTTCTAGCTTACCAAGAAGTAGGTTGTGGTCTACTTTGTCGAATGCCTTGTTGAAGTCTAAGTATATTATGTCCACAGTATTTCACTGGTCTACTAATTTAGTCACTATGTTGAAAAATGAAATAAGATTGGTTTGGCACAGTCTGTTTTTAACAAACCCATGCTGACTTCTAGTTATTACTTTACTCGTTTCTAGGTGTTGGCAGATCTGTTTTTTTTATTATTATTATCTTTTCTAGTATCTTCCCAGGTATTGATGTTAGGCTGATTGGTCTGTAGTTTCCTGGGTCTGCTTTTTTTCTTCTTTTTTAAAGATGGAAACCACATCAGCTCTTTTCCAATCCTCTGGTAGGTCCCCGGTGCTCCAGGATTTTTGAAAGATGTGTGAAGTGGTTCTGAGATGACATCTGCCTGCTCCTTTAGAACTCTGGGATGTAATCCATCAGGCCCTCAGTGATTTGTATTCATCAAGATCAGACAGGTGTTCTCTTACCATTTTTTTGCTTATTTTATTTTTTGCTTATTGATAATAGGAAGCATATTACAAAGTTTAGATCATGTCTGTAATAATGGGAATCCATTTTAAATTGTCTGTAACAACTGGGAATCCTTTTGAAACCAAAACAGCCACAACTTTAGCTTTTGTTGAAGTATCTGTGAGATAGACCTGTCCTACCCAATTTTTTATTAATAGAGATTTATCCTGTTCCATTAAATGAGTCTCCTATAGATAAGCAATATCTGCCCTTAATTATATTAAATATGCTAAGATTACATTTGTTCCCTTGGGTTCTCAAAACCATTTTACATTAAGGTTAAGTAACTTCATTCTCAGTCAGATCAGAATTTGGAGATTGGGGCTAAAGTAGTAGACAGTATAGAACAGGGTAATAGCTTACCTCATAATATTTCCGTATTTTTCCATCCATTTCCTATCAGCTCAGTTGTTGATAATGAACTGCACTCCAAATTAATGCAAAGATAAAGCATGCTATAAAATATTTAATACCCTTCAAAACACGAAGATGGTAAGTGAATCAACGAGCTCTTATAATCATGTCATCTTGTTGAAGTTTATGAGATAATTATAAATCAGATTAAATTAATATGAGCCATCTTTGGAGATGCTGTTATCAGCATGTTCACAGTTAATTCTGCTTGTACATGGTTTAGAAAACACTGATGTTGCTTAATGAGACAATATTTAATCTTTCTGATTCTTCCATAGCAAAATTATCTCTTGGATCAGGACAAAAAGAATATAGGAGAAATGAATTGATATTGAGAAGCAAAGACAAACTGAATTTTTTAAGGAGAAAAACTCAGTGGTACCCTTGATCTTGTCCAGCATCTAAGGGGCTGCCACAAAGAAGAGGGGCTCAACCTATTCTCCATAGCACCTGAAGGCAGGACAAGAAGCAATGGATGGAAACTAATCAAAGAGAGAAGCAACCTAGAACTAAGGGGAAATTTCCTGACAGTGAAAACAATTAATCAGTGGAACAACCTACCTCCAGAAGTTGTGAATGTTCCAACACTAGAGGTTTTAAAGAAGATATTGGACAATGATCTGCCTGAAATGGTTTCCTGCTTGAGCAGAGGTTTGGACTAGGAAACCTTCCAACTCTGTTTTATTCTGTTATTTTTTAATGTTTTTTTTCTTTTTCAACTTATGCTAACCTTTCCCAGGATCAACAATTTTTCTCATGTTTTCTGCCCATGTTGCTTGCCCCGAATGCGTGAACTTCTTGCTTCATCCCCTCAAGTGAAAAAGCAGTCATAAATTTTTCCAAGATTCACTTAGTGCTTCTTGCAATAACTCTTATCAACCATCTCCAATTTCATATCTTGAAGCAATGTTCTCTCACTCTTACGTCGAGCTTTCATAGCCATACACAAAAATCACTGCTGTAATTTGTTGTCGCAGAAATGTCCTGTATAGACTAATGTAAGTCTGCCATCAGCTTTCTCTGAAGGATTAATGTTATCTTTATTTTCTAGCATGCTGTTCATTACTTTATTCTTGAACCCAAGAAAACAAAGCTATTTGCCACCTTCTGTTCCTTCCCATTACCTTAATGAGAATTCACTAAGCAAGCTGCTTAAAAATTAACATTAACACATTTCTATTTCACTTTATTTTTGTACTTTCCTGATGAGGCCTTCTTCTTTACTTTCATCTTGCAAAGTGGTATAACCTGCAGCGTTATTTTTTGTTCAGTTGTCATTTTATTCAAATTGCTATTCTAGATTAAACAGATGGGGGTGGGGGGAAAATATACTGGTTAAACAAATCTGAGGACAATAAGCTTCCTTCTCTTGCTCCAGGTCTTATTCTTAATCATCCTTTTTCCCTAAACTCAATTCTTCCTTGTTCCTCCATAAAAGATCCTCAGCAAAATATTTGCCTTGTTATTTTGACAAGTTGTCGTGATGCAACCAAACATGTTGCTGTAGCCAAATTGTTCTTTTATTCTCTTGTTCTATTCATTATGCATCGGATTTCCTCTTCTGTTGCCTTTTCTGCAAACTGCGATTTAATTTGGCATTCCTCTGCTAATGTACGCCTCTATGTTTCTTTGTAGAATCTGAGCAAGATTTTGCTTGACTTAGGCATTACTTTAGGCATTGGTAATTTACAGATATATTTTTTTTCCTCCAGCCCAGGGGTGACAGGTTCAGCAGGTTCTGACAGGTTCTGGAGAACCGGTAGTGGAAATTTTGAGCAAAAGAAGAAGGGGACGGCAGAGAACGAGGTGGCTGGATGGAGTCACTGAAGCAGTCTGTGTGAGCTTAAATAGACTACGGGGTATGGTAGAGCAAAGGAAGGCCTGGAGGAACATTGTTCATGGGGTCGCGATGGATCGGACACTACTTCACGACTATCAACAACAACAAGTATATTAAGTGTATGGAAAAAACAAGTAATTTCCTTTGCCTAAGTGCTCATTGACAGTTTAAAATGAAGAGCAGAGTCCCCCTTACATAAAGTGAGTTTAGAAGAAGAGGATTTTTTAAAAGCTGCCAATGTACAACCTAGCTTACTTCTGCAATTTCATGGCCAGTGACAGGAACATGGCCAATTTTTCATGCATCCCTAGTCAATATTCTAAATCAATGATAGAGTGAGTGACATTGCGATTTGGACCTAGTAGTGCTACAAAGCAAAACCTTTTTGCATACTGGGGGTAGGGTTGAAAATGATCTGGCAATAATGCAAAATGTAAAATTCTTATGTAAGATTTGGATGGTGTCAGAAAGAAAAATTACAAAAGTACTGTTCAGAAGAACCTTGGACTTTTCAGCCAGTACCTGTATAACTTGGAGTGAATCCTCTTGAAATCAGTAAGGTAGATTTCTGAGTAAATTTACATAGGATGGTACATTGAGGATTAGTAGACTAATCTTCTCCCATCTAATGTGTTGGACAAGAATTTCCAACTGCTATAGATTCTCACCTTGCTGGTTGGAGCTCTAGAAGATACCAGTGTATCTTGAGGCACTACTGCTAAAGGGAATAATAAGCCTTCAAAATGTCAGGCATCTATTATTTTGACTATATTTTTATATTAAAAAGTACAAAATTTGTATTCCTTTTTTAAGGTACATATATTCCAAAATTAATGAAAGCTGCATGATGGAACTAGCCTAATGAAGACTCAGATGACCTAAGGATCTGTGTAAATGTATACAGATAGTCCTCCACTTACAATCACAATTGGGACCAGAATTTCCAAGATGGTTAAGGTAATTATTCCTGATTTTTTAAAATCTTTTTTGCCATGGTTGTTAACATTTATATTGCATTTGCATAGCACCAGAGGTTTCTGAGAGAAGTAGCTCACTGTGAATGGAAGAGGAATGAAAATTTGTCCAGTGGATCAAGCTAGTCACCTGGGAACAGAGTCACTGGTTGCATTTGTGTTGCATTTGCATAGTACCAAAGGTTGCTGGGAGAAGTACTTTACCATGAGTTGAAGAGAACTGAGACTTGGTCCAGTGGATCTAGGGAGCATCTATTTACACTGACTTTGTGAAATTATTCATTGTGAGGGTATCTGATCTTCTGATCAAAAGTGCATCAAGCAATAGTTCGCCTTTGATAAATGCTTGTGTGATTGTGATTTTATTTTAGAGTATCTGGTTTAGTTCACTGCAACACTTGTTTTTCAGCTGTTTTTATGGTATTTTTGGATACTGTCCTATTTGTAAGCAGATTGTTAGTTTACATGGATTGATTGCTTGGTTTTATCCACAAATCTATGCTATTTACTAGTTTTCTGCATAATCTATTTTAAGGTTGACTGGAGTCTCCTCTGGGAAGAGATTAGAGGTTGTGCAACTGTTTGGATGCACTTGTGCAGAAGCAATACTGCTATTATATATACTGTCTTTTCTGAACCTTGTTGCAAGAATGAAGTATTGTAAAAAGGCAGGACTGTCCAGGAACAAGCCCCAACCGATTATCTATTTATCTGGCAAGCAGTCAGGAATGATGAAGAAGTTAGAAGAGAAGTAGCCATTTCTTCTCTTCTTCCTGAAGTTTCTATTCCAGGAGATAGTGCCATTCTGACATGTCTATCAGTCACTTGTCATAGTACTTAGAGTTAACAAAGCAACTACAATTTCTAACAGAAAATGTTGACAGTTGTAATAACATTTCTTGTACCACAAGCAGAAAATACACTGCTAAGATTGTTCTGCATGACTGCAAGATATCCAGCAGCTGAATCCCTTAATTTTTAATGCTGTGAGGTTTTTTTTAGTGAATTTTAGTGCACTAGTTCTGCATATTTACCCAGCAGCAACTCCCATATTATTTAATCAAATAAGCAAACATGTTAAAGGATTAGTATATAATTGTTCTAAGGATAGGGGGTGGGGGAAGTCTTAGAGAAGCAATAGATATCCCACAGGAGCAAGATATTAATTTTCTTCTTTTTTTTTTTTTCTGCCTCTTTTGCTTTCTCTTGGTTTGGTACATCTAAAACCATAGTTCAGTTCAGCAAAACTTAATTTTTTAAAGTGTTGTTCATGGTGAAGTGTTTACCCTTATGTATATGCTTATTTGGAGGTAAGTTACATTGAACTGCACGAGTCAAAAAGAAGGCTGTAAAAATATTTACAGACCCCTCGCATCCTGGACATAAATTGTTTCAACTCCTACCCTCAAAACGACAGTATAGAGCACTGCACACCAGAACAACTAGACACAAGAACAGTTTTTTTCCTGAATGCTATCACTCTGCTAAACAAATAATTCCCTCAACATTGTCAAACTATTTACTAAGTCTGAACTACTATTAATCTTCTCATTGTTCCCATCACCCATCTCCTTCCACTTATGACTGTATGACTATAAGTTTGTTGCTTGGGTCCTTACAATTTATATCGATATTGTTTCTTGATTGCTTATTTGTACCCTATGACTATCATTAAGTGTTGTACCTTAGGATTCTTGATGAACATTTCTTTTATGTACACTGAGAGCATGTGCACCAAGACAAATTCCTTGTGTGTCCAATCACACTTGGCCAATAAAAAAAATCTAAAAATAAATTGAACTGAACATGAATATTATTTATTTTTCATCCTATAATGAGAACTGTTTGGTTTACTTTCAACAAGAATTTAAGAAAATTTGCATAACTGTGACAAATGAGATTTTTCTTCTTCTTTTTACAAAAATTACTTCTAGAAGAAAGGCAATGATCCCAAAATCATCCATGCCTTCCAGCCAATTTTGCCATAGGTCAGTCACTAATTCTCAAAATAACCTGAGGACACTTTGGGGCAAAAGCATAAAGCAGGAAGAAAGGAGAAGCTATATTTTCCAACCTGACTTCCTTGGAAGGGCAGCTGTCTAGAAATGAAATAAACACATCAATGGGTTCAAGTGTTCTATTTCCGTTTCTTGTGTTCCTCAAACGAATGACTTTGGCAGTGAATCTTCTTAGTGAAATCCAGTCCTCCCCTTGGGCCATTAGGAAAAAGAATTTTGTCAAATCAGCTTCAGACAATCCTAGAAGGGTCTCAAGGAAGTATTTTTGTTCTGCTCTAGAGAGTAAATGACCCAGATCAAACTTTTCAATATCCCTCATTTCCCATGACAACATCCTACTTTATTGACATTTTTCATCCTACGGTTGAAAACAAACCTGGACTGTCTAATGGTATTGTGAGCATTTGTAATGTATCTCTTTTATAGGTTGGCCAAGAATTGTCCTGAAGGACACTGTAGACAAGTGTTCCTTGACAATGCTAGTGTTTCTGCTGACAGCTGCATTGAATTTTAATAAAAGAGTAGGCAACAACATTACTCACATTTTAGCAAGGAAGAATAAGGGACAAATAAATATCTGAGGAGTAAGAAATAGAGAAATAATTCCCAAAGGGTTTGTTTATTTTCTTCATTATTGAGAGATACAAGGATGGTATGTTACATGGCATCTTTGCATTCATTGCCTTTCTTGCCCAGGAGCAACTGAGATGTTGACGCTTATTGAATTGTATTGTTCCCATTATGCTGTTTTATGCTGGAAACAAATATCCTGCTTGGTCAGGTTCATTTTATCTACTCTACTTATCGATGTTTGGGCAGCCATTTTGGTGTGGTAGTTAAAACATCAGGCTAGAAACAAGGTGATTGTGAATTCTAGTCCTTTCTTAAGCACAAAGCCAGCTGTGTGACCTTGGTCCAGATTCTTGGATGAGAAGAGAGACATTTTCAAAGAAGAAAAACAAACAAGAAAATCCAATTGCCATCTGGAAAAGCATCTTTGGGACAATCATGACCTGGATGATTGAGAATCTCCATTGACACTTGGTCCAGTCACTGTCTCTCAGCCCTAGGAAAGAGGCAATGGCGAGCCCAATTCCTGAAAAAAAAACCTTGTCAAGAAAACTTTAGGGAATTGTCTAGGCACTCTAAAAATTGGACACTATTGAACGGAGGAAAAAAATTGCTGTCTGAACAATCTGACTCTGTCTCAATGAATGTAATTAAATACTGTTTTGCTCTTTGCCGCATTTACCATAACACAAATAGCTTTTAGACTTTGGCCAAAGAATCTGATTACTTCGTTTAGTTTTATCCTTTCATTTTTAATTAGTCAGCCATACATACTGTAGCTTTCATAGTTTAGTATATTACTGTTTATTCTCACGACTCCCTAATGGGAATTATATGTTTTAATTTTGAACTGATTTTGATCTGGTTTGTGTTTCTAATAAATTAAACTAAACTGACTTTCGATAGGAGGGAGCCCCTTCCAATCCTCAAGAAGATAACTGAAACAATTGATAGAATCTGGTACCTCAGAGAATAGCTTGTTAAAAGTGATGGCTGGTAATTCCAAAAAATTAGCATTAGTTTGATGTTGCAAACACTGTACAGACAGCCTGTCCAGACTTTGGCACCAGATCTGGCCTTGGCAGCATCCATGTCTCAAGGTAGAACAGCCCAATTTCACACTATGTATGAATAACTTCCCTACAGGAACAAACAAGCACATAAATTATCCCACCTTCTTACAGTTTCACCTGATGGAAATCCTTCTGCTGCCAAAATTTAAATAGTCTTCCATCGGACTCCAGTTACTTCAGATTTTAATTTCTGTAAAAGTCAGGCCATTGTGTTTTGAGGCTACAACTTTTCTATGCATGATAAAGCTCCAGATATTTTCAGACAACTCTACTCTCAGTGAATTATCAGGGATCTCTAGCAATCTCAGGGAATTTGTCACGTGCCAGGGAAATCAGGAGATTCAGGCAGTTGAAATGAGTGTAAAGATTTAATGCAAGCTTAAACTCTCTACTGACCAACTAACAATCAAGGGAAATGCTTGGGAGATAAAGCAGGCATTCAAGGTGGGCTGGACTTAAATCTCTTGTAGGTGCACAGAGACTAGTGACTTATGACATGTTGGACCCCTTCCTCAGGCTCAGTCTGATCATCTACTCAGTGGTGGGATTCAAGTAATTTAACAACCGGTTCTCTGCCCTAATGATTTCTTCCAACAACCGGTTCACCAAACTGCTCAGAAACTTAACAACCGGTTCTCCCGAAGTGGTGCGAACTGGCTGAACCCCACCACTGCATCTACTACAGAATTAAGTCTACTTCAGGGATGTGTGTCACTCCAAATATTGCCAAACTGCAGTTTCCAACCTTTTTGTATCATTATCATTTTGGCTACCATCTCTGGAACTGTAATTCAGCCACACCTATAAGGTTCTACCCTAATTAACAACTAAAAGCAACACCCAACTAGGAACCATATAAATACAATGCGTAGAACAGTCCGGTGCACATATTTTGGAGAGAGAGACGTTCCCTGATGATGGACTCCAGTATGAACCCAAAAGCTTGGAAGAATAAACCTTTGGTCCTGGTGATGGACTCAGATTGGATCCTGCAACATTATCCTGGGACACATAAAGTTGCCTTCATTCACCCAGGTTTTTAAAAAAACTTTATTCTTTTTACAATAGATACGTAGCCCTAAATTCATGCAAGTTCAGGTGGCTCTTCAAACTCTTCTTTAGCCAGGTCATATCAGACATAAAAATGAAGAAGGGATATGAGCATAAAATCTCCTATCAGTCCCCCACTTTCCTGTTTTGAGTGAAAAGTTATGGAGAGGCACATACATATCTCAGGGTGGTGTGCAAATAAAATCTAATCATATTTAGACATGGTTCCAGAGCTTTCAATGTGTTTTGCCGTCCAGTCAGTATTCACTGAATAAGATTGGCACCTAACCAGTGGTGGGATTCAAATAATTTAACAACTGGTTCTCTGCCCTAATGATTCCTTTCAACAACCAGTTCACCAAACTGTTCAGAAAATGAACAACCGGTTCTCCCGAACTGGTGCAAACTGGCTGAATCCCATCACTGCACCTAACTTAACTTATCTATGACACAGTGATGAAAAAAAAAGTTCTGATATTTTGCTGATTCTAATTTCATATATTGAGTTCCCCAAGAAAGTTAATTCCATTCATATTAACCACTAATTATGAAAGCCCTGGCATCTTCCATCGGTGACAACCAAAGAGAAAACCTTCCAAAATTTAGAGACTGGTATTTGACTAAGATATCTTGCTGGTAGGATTGGATGAGAAATTGTTGAGAAAGACATTTTAGGTAGGAGCAAACAAGATCCAAATCCAAAGTGTTCTATTTAGGGTGGTAAGCATAAATTCATAGGCCATTCAGTAGCTGCCAAAGAGAGAGAGAGACCTAAAGATTTTAGTTTCTTGTATAGTGACCTAGTCCAAGAAGAGCTAAAAAGTCAGCCCAGCTGGAAAGAATAACAGTTTGCACCAATAAGAAAGAATACAAAACTAGGCAGAAGTTTCTACTTTGGAAGGACCAGCTTCATGGTGCAGGACTCTGCTGGATATGCAGTGGGGAGCCTGGAAATTAGCCTTCAGAAATTGGAACTGAAGCCTTCCTTGCA